GTCCAACATAAGGAATCTTGGATCACAAGCCCACATATATAAGAATGAATGATTTACACAATCAACCCATATATTTAATTAGTCTCCTTTTGATCACTTAATTAATTCCAAATTAATTCTTGATCAATACTAATTAAATAACCTTATTAATATATTAGAGCTTATAATATATTAACCAACCTTAAGTGTTATTTCTCTCATTATAGTCTATCCAAATGCATGATGCCATGCAACCCAAATGGACCATGCCGGGTCGGGTCAAGTCTTACCAATTATAGTTATGGACTTAGACATTAATCCAACAATATATTCCTGTTGGGTTTTTCACAACGATATCACATGGAATTGTTTAGTTGGCAGAAAATTTGATGATTTCTCCTACTTGAATGTCTTTCCATTTCTTCTGTTCGTATGAAGTGTTCACTAGAATAGATGATAAACGATTGTTTTCAATCCCGTCAGATCTGTGTCGTCTCCAGTCTTCATAAGCATCTTTCACTGTTGTAACTAATAACACCATTGTTAATGGCAAGATGTGTAACGCCCCGATTCTCAAGTATTGATAGTATGACTTTAAATTTCAAGTTCCAAGGTCTACTCGATGAGTGGATGCGCTGGCTCGTCGAGTAGGAGCGGGATTGGGCCACATATTTAAGTGACCAACTCGCCGAGTCAGAAGAGTGAATCGACATGTTGGAGCTGGAGGGTGAAACCCTAATCCCTGGGATTTTGCACCCTATTTAAAGGATCCTTTGTCCCCTTAGCCTTCCCTTACAACCCCTGTGAGTCCAGAAACCTTAAATCTCCATTTTCTCTCCATACTTGTGTGTTTAAGCTTGAAAGGTGGATCTTGGTGAGGAAAGGCTTGAAGATCAAGAAGCTTTGAGCAAGGAACAGTTGGGGATCTGAAGTCTACCTCATTTTATCATCATTTGAAGGTATCAAGTCATCACCTTGAGCTTCTTCTAGCTAGATCCCTTTTATATTTGAGTCTTGGGACCATTTTGGGCATTTGGTGTTGCATTTCGAGTGATGAACCAAGATCTGAAGTTGCAACTTCAGATCTAGGCTCATCTTGGCTCTTATCATCATAAAGTGTGACAACCCGAATTTTTTTTCCTTGTAAGTCCAGCCATTCAATTCAACCATGTGCCAGACTCGTTTCTGCTATCTTTTAGCCTTGTTTAGAGTCTGTTTAAGGGTTCAAAGCTCAGTACATTCAAGCATTGAGTGTAGGATTGAGTAGTTAAAGTTCTTCGCGTTAAAATCAAGCCGAACACTCCATTCAAGGGAGTGTACGGCCGTACACATGGGTGTACGACCGTACACCCATCATGACCGTACACCCACCTCCATAAGTGTGATATCCTTTCATTTCTAGTCATTTCTCACATTCCCAAGTCCATAAAATCGATTCTCTCTCAACTATCATCGAGTTCTTCATCCTAGATCTTCAGAAACGTAAGTGTTTCTTCCATCTTTGAGTTGTTATCCTTCTTAATCATGTATCACCCTTTGATTTCATCCATGGAAATCATCTTTTTGGGTAGATCTTCAAGATCTTCATCTTTCACCAAGAACACCAAGAACACACACTTGTTCTTGGTGGCCGTGAACACCCTTTTGAGCCTCCAAATCATAAGTATCCTTTCCTTATGCATAGAATACGTTAGGAACTCTTGCTAAACACCTTAGAAATGACCATTTTACAAGAAAAAAAGGAGTGTACGGCCATACACCCTTGCATGGCCGTACACCCCTCAAAACACCCCAAAAGGGCCTCCAAAGTGAGAATCTAGTTCATATTCTTGTTGAGCATTAGTCCCCCAAGCTTCCCCATGGTTCAAACACCTTTTTGTGCATGTTTTACCATGAGTGTACGGCCGTACACTCCATGGCCGTACACCCATGGCCGTACACACCATATTGTGGCCGTACACACTCCTTTGATGAATCACATGTGATTCTAACACTTAGTCCAAGTGTTTCCTAGTCCTCGAGGGTGTTTCCTTGCATGTTAGTTGCTTTAAACACTAAATTCATGCCAATATATGCCATTATATGTCATTAGGACTCGTTTGTGTCTCGAGACTTCATTCATGGAACTTCTCATCCTTACGCGCATATTCGATTGAATCACCCACATAAGGTGAGTTCATACCCCTATAATCAATATTTTAATTGTTTTAAATGCTTTTAAGGGGAGAATACAAGTTGAACACAATGATAATTGTGTAAATGTTTTTCTATAAACATCATTTTAACATATTGCTTATGTATTTATAAGTGATCAAAACATTTCAAAAACTCTTTTTAAGTTTTGTTACTTTACAGTTTATAAAACTCCGTTTTTAAAGTACAATCATAACTTAGTAGATAAATGAGTCTTTTCTTCAAGTCAGAAACAGTTCAAAGTATAGATACTAGTAAACTATAATAGGTATAGTTTAGGGGTTCAGTTCATACTAGATACTAGAACATACTATAAAGAGAAACAGGGAGGAAGATACAATACACTATAACAGAGAGAACACTATACACTATAATAGAAGAACAAATCATGATTAACAACATTATACCAATGATCACTAACTCATTGTTCTAAACAAAAGGTGATAATAAATGTGGTATACAAGATAACTTTAATGTGAGACTACTTCACGGCTTAGCAATTTGTTTGCTGAAGTCACGTTTCGTAACCAGAATCTCTTGCAGGGAGAGCATATAGTATAGGCACGACTCATCACATTATGACTTTAATAAAACAATCTGGGTTTTAAGGTAGTCAATACTTCAGTAGTCACTTTAAAAGACTACTGCATACTTACATTTTTCCCATTACTTTCATATTGTGACAGTTCCACTTGAAAGTTAATGCAAACTATTTTCGAGTTAAGATAGTTATAAACTAGGGAAAATTTACATCTTTTCAAACGACAAACAGAACAATCGAGTCTAGTACATTAACTTAGAAAGGGTCCTATAATGCTAACTTTATGATTCCTTAGTTTATACATCGGGGATATATATTAATCGGATCCGACAGGTAGTAGGATGTGTGCTTTCCGCTTCATTTCCTGTTCCTTGTTTGGTTGTGGTCTTAGAGCAGATGCACCCAGTCTACTATTTATTCGATCTTAGCTATATATATATATATATATATATATATATATATATTCCGTATACACCAAGTAATCATAAGGAGTACCAGGTATAGGTCAGATCATAGTATACAAATTCAATACACCGTTTTCTAGTACAAAACATACTTTTCAAATAGAACATTTGGTAGACAAAACTAAAAACTTACCAGTAAAGGGTTTAATCCATTTTATTAAACCAATATAACTTAAAGGACCTTAGGTGGTTAATTCTATAATACCTTAGTTTATACATCAGGGTTATATATAATTAATACCCGACAGGTAGTTGGATGTGTGCTTTCCGCCTCATTTCCTGTTCCTTGTTTGGTTGTGGGCTTAGGGCAGATTCACACAATTAACTATCCGTTCGATATTATATTATATATAGCTAGTATAAACTAAGTGATTATAGAAGGAACCATTGTGGTTACCATTTTTACTAAAAGAAATAAGGGTTTTCTTAAAGAACGTTTTCATCAAATATAAAGGAACTATTACAGTTAACTCCGTGAGTACCAAGTGAATACGCTAGGGTTATATACAACGATGATCTAACAAACAATGGGATGTGTGCCTTCCGCCTCATTTCCTGTTCCTTGTTTGGTTGTGGGCTTAGGGCAGATACACACAATCAATTGTTTGTTTACTCTGGGTTGTATATAACTTGTATCCATTTAGTACTCATAGAAAGGATTGTAGAGTCATTTTTACTTATCTTTCATCAAAGCAGGAAATATAGGATTTTCTGGAGGAACAGGCGAACTTTTCTAAAAGAACTTACAACTTACTTACAACTTACCTACATCACTAAAATCTTATGAACTCACCAGCTTAAATGCTGATCTACGCTTTCAAAATAACTTGTATTCTCAGGAAACCAGTAGACAGGTACACGCACTGGGATTGAGAAGATGGAGCATAATAGCTTCATGTCCTGTTTTGTTATTTACTTTTGTAGTCTATCTTATGTAAACCACATACTTTGTAAACACTTTCTTTCTAATGAAATGGTTGTTTATTACTTTGATTACTATGATGCATGTCTTGTGATACTAAACATGACGTCCTCCGCCCCCGAACGTTTCCGCCGTTCCGGTTTTGGTGTGTGACAGATTGGTATCAGAGCATTGTTTATAGTAAACTAAGTATATCAACCGATAAAAGATATACAACTATAAATACAATGGGGCATAAGTGCTTTGGATAATAATATATTTTTAGGATATAACAGTACCTTATAAAAGTATACATACGTGCTTATACATATATACATACTAGAACAAGTATCACAAGAAGAACAGAACATAAGTATTTAAAGGTTGAACACTGCGGTCAAACCTGGACAGTTATGTAATCATATCTAGGATCAATATAGCCTGATCAACTATATTCATTCGAGATGTGACCGACATGTGTTTGGGAGTGATGTGGTGTTGCAACAGTCTTAAAACTTACCTAACTCTATTCAAGGGACTTCTAGATCAGTACATAAAGTTAGAATACTATGGGAGTATTTTATGATACTATAACACGATAACAAGTTTAAAACACTACAAGAAAAAGACCCTTTTACGACGCGCAAACAACGACACTCATTGATTTATGTTTCGCAAAAGAGAGTGACATTAAAAAAGTGTCGTCTCTTCAAAAAATTTAAGGATTTATGTCACACATTATTGTGTGCCCTTAAATTAGTGTCTAAACAGAAAAAAAAAACACGGAGGGCACCTATAATAAAATGTGTGTCGTCTAAAGATGTCGCTTTATAAATTTTAATGGAACGCGCGTTCCATCCGGGGGAAAATGAAATCCTAAAAAATTAAAAACCCTGCATCTTTTTCTTCTTTCCCTCTTGCCCTAATTATCGACGCTCCTTCCTTTCCCTCTTGTCTCTCTCGGTCGCTACCTAGAGTTTTTATTGAAAGCTTGAATCGATCGACTGAGGTAACCAAAGGTCAAGCGAACCGGGAAAGGGTTTTCAGTGAAATCTACCGTTACTCTTTGAAATCGGATCCAATCCTACCTTCGCCCCATCCTTCTTGCCTCTATCGGTTGCTACCTTGGGTTTTTCGTGAAAGCTTGAATCGATCGACTAGGGTAACTAAAGGGTAAGCGAACCGGGAAAGGGAAGCAATAAATCCAACACTCACTCTCAAATCGATTCTACTGGACAAGGTTTCAATTTGGGGCTCTCTACATTCTCATCGATTCTACTTTCATTCAAGCTTACATCGGTTTTTTTGGTATCCAGTAACCGAAGCTTACATTCTCATCGATTCCACTTTCTCTCTCTGAACAAAAATATCTCATATTCTCTAAAAGCCCTAAACCAGCCACCGCCGGCTATCACCTCCACCATCGTTGACATCGTCCTACTTCCCAGATGGTCTGTGTGTGTGCGCGGCAAGACTGAACAGAAAATGGGAAAGAAAAGAAAAAACGAGCAGAAAGAGAGAAAAGAGAGTTTAAGGCTGAGGGGAGGATGCATCAGAGTTGAAGGTATTGTTGTTGAACTTATGGAAGGGGGGGCTAATGGCGAAAAAACAGCAGGAGCTGAGAAGATGCTTCCTATTATTCTGGATTCTGTCCATTTTAAAGGTGGAACATTATTGTTGCTTGCATATGGTGACAATGAGCCCAGGTAAATCTGAGGATGTGAATGCCCTTCTGTTAGTCGTAAGTCTTAAGCTTATGTGGTTTTTTTGGGTATTTTCATATTATTCTGAATGGCACGCCAGCGAACGGAACCAATTAATTTTACCCTTCACAATTGATTGATGTTGGTTGTTTATGTAACCAAAACCTAAAGCAATTAATTTTAGTTTTATAAATATATAGGTTTTCATGCACGTGGCGTGTGTCAGGAAGCATGGTCTGTCTGATTTTTAAAACTTGGTTATGGGTTTCATATATAGGATTAGCCCTTAGCAGTTAGCATATACCCTTCACAATGGTAACATGGAATTTGCAGGTGTTGCAAAGGTTATCCTGAAGAAGGGGAAAACACAACTGTTTCGTGATGGAAGCCCAATGGTTTACAGCGGTGCAGTTGATAGAATTATTGGTAGACCACCCCCAAAAACAGGTGACGTTGTGCTGCTGGCTGACGGGACACGAAAGCCAATCGGTTGGGGCTTGTACAACTCGTGCTCTATGTTCTGTGTGAGGCTCATGCAGCTAGAGGAGGAAGTATCAGGGTATTCTGTCATTACTCAAGTCAAATTAAAAAACCATGTGATGAATTAAGATTATTTTAATTAATATCTGGATGGAATGAATGAATTGAATGGCACAGAGATCCTTCTTGTGCATTGAATGTGGAAAAGCTGCTTGAAACAAGAATAGATGCAGCCATCAAATTACGTAAGAGCTTGGGCCTCCCTTCTGCCAATACAAATGCATATCGTCTTGTGAATAGTGAAGGAGATAGGTAGCTATTTCCTATTATTTTGACTCTGTTGTTTATAGCTATGGCTTAATAATTTATCCAAAGTACAAATTGTCAGGCCTTATAGTTGATGTGTTTGGGGATTTGGCTGTGATTGCGTCGTCAGCTGCATGGGTTGAGAAGTACAAGCTGCATTAATTGTACATGAGAGTATTATATTCGTTTAATGGTTGCAACATTAATGCAACAAATTACAAGTTGGTTCATTCCGGTGCTTATTTTGATATATGCGAATTTTTTTCTGTAAAAGAAGTTATAAAAGTTAAAAGTTTACATTGTCTATGAAGACTGTGATCATATTGCTGCTGACTTGTAATTATTCTGAACTGAAGCAGTCTTAATATTTTTTTTTCTATTCCAACAGTTTTAACTATTACTATATGTGGAACTTTAGAAACATCCTCTAATCTAATAAATAAGTAGAATTTTGCCACGTGACATTCTCCAAGCCCCCCAAAATTGAATTTTCCCGCTCAAATTATTAAGTGAATTTCCGAAAATGCCCATTTGTTCGATTCAACTCACGGTAGAGAAAAATCAGAACGAGTTCTGCATTTAAAATGGAAACATGATTCCTCCATTTTATTTATATCTTCTCCCCCTTTTTCCGCTTTTAAACCCGTGGAGTTGTAATCTCCTAGAAGATATCAATCATCAACCCAAATCTCCCTAAATCAGATATATATCATCAATACAAATCAGTATATTACTTCCTTCTTTATTCTCTATCTCCCCCGTTTCTCGCTATAACCTATCAGAGACGACTAAGAAGGAGCCAAATTTCTGTTAAATAATTGTTGCTAAGCAACAACCAGAACAGTTCATGATTGATCTCTTCCAGGAGATTACAACTCCAAAAGCTTCAATTTTTGAGATTTCCGACGTGGCTAAGCGCAGATCCGATCATCGTTGATCTTTCGGTTGAAGGCTGTTGTTTTAAACCCCTGTTTTAACGGTAATCATCGTTGTTCATCCTCTCCATTAATTTCCTTATTCTCGAGCAAATCCATTCAGATGTAAACTTTAATCGTTGATCTGTTTATTAGGGGTTTCACGCATATTTCAATCGATTTTTGAAATTAGTGCTTTTGCAGGTTGCTTTAAAGTGTTATCCGTGTATAATAATGTGAGTATTCCGTTATTCGATTTTTTATTTTATCCGTAGAGAAGTCCACTGATCATTCCTAGATTTTTTTTAGCGTAAGGAGACTGCATAATTTGAAATTTTGAGGTTAGGCTTGCTTTAAAAATGCACATGTAGAACATTTAAATTTCGTTAATCACATTATAAAACCAATATAGATGAGAATGAGTTAAAATATCATTTGTCTTGAGGTGTGCTTGCAGCTTTGTTCTTGTCTATTTGTTCTTTGAAATTACTTAACTATATTTAACAGTAGACAAATTAACTTCTGGATTAAAGTTTTATTTTGTGGATATACACTTTTACTACTGAGATGTTGTGTGGACAGTTACATGTCAATCCCACAATATGTTTGCTATGCAATTCCAATCTTTTTAGGAGTAATTACATTGAAGATGAAATATGGTGTTTCTATAAGTCACTAACAATGCTGCTTTGTGGTCCTACTCACCATTCATAAGTCATGGAGTTTGTTTGCAATATATAATCTGTGTACTTGGTGTTTCAATTGATTATTTATGCTGATTAGGTGCAGGACTCAATACATTTTGGTTTTCCGATTTCTTTGTACTCTTTGTTAAGGTGCATTATTTGTTGGGTACTCAACTAGTTAGTGAGATGTAATGTTTGTACCCTTTCCCAATTCCCTTGTGGGCATTTTCTTTCTTTAATATAACATTCTCCTGTGCTAATTTTTTTTCTTCAAAAGTGAGATTTTTTTTACTTATATACCCTCACCCTAACCAAGCGTTTAATAGTGATATGTGCTTTGTTAGTTTAATTTCTCATCAAACTTAATCAGTTTAATGATGTGTTTTGTTAGTTTAGATTATCAATAAATTTAATCACATTTTTGTTATTTTTGGTGTAAATAAGATCTTTGACTGGGTTTTCGTATTTTCAAAGTTCACGGGATAGATATATTTGAAATGAGAGTTGGATACTTTAAAATGGGAAAATCATAAATAAAAGTACTTAGATATCGTAATCTGAAGCTTACCTGAAAGTTGGATCCTTTAAAATTTGAAAACTTGAAAATTAATTTAATAGGTTAGGTAACTTTAAAGTAATAAAGATGATAGGCTAAATTTAGTTAATAGTATAATAGAGGTGACTTAAAAAACAAATGGTAAACCGTCCCAAAACCCATGTAGGAGGTCAATCCGTAACACTTACAATATTTTCAGTGTATTGTATTTTGCAGGTAAATTTTTTAATTTTTATTGCTCACTTTTTTTTACAATGACAATTTCGTTGTATGTTAAGAATTCTATATCAGAACTTTGATATTTCTTGCATTTATTCCTACTTCAAACAATTTTTTTTTTTCAATTTTTATAATTAAATATATCATTGTACAATATAACCATTTATCTTTAATTTAGACATAATGAATGGTTGCTATCCTCAAAACACATTGCAAAATTAATTTAAATTAACAACTATAAAACTATGGGCTGAAAGTTTCTAAAAAAATAAATCTTTGCAAATGTAATATTATTTTAAGGTTTATTAACTTTCAAAATTATTTTACGTTGTCCCGTGTAGTACACAGGTTATAACCTAGTTTGAAGAATATATAGTGATAAAGGAGTGAATATGTTGGGAAAATGCCAACATTGAACCATGGAGTTATTGTTTATTTGTTTTAGATCACTCATTAAATGTAACTTTTTTGTTTTATAATGATAGACAAAACATGGGATCAACAGTTTGGAGCTTCCTCTAATTCAGCATACACAGTTGCCTGATCTGGAGAAACTTGTTTCTCTCTTGAGTGGTAAGCTGATAAGCTCAAACTCCTTAATTTCTGCTTGTTGCTTCTTTTCTTCTAAGAGTAATGTTTACTGTTTATCTGTTTTCTTCTTGTGATCTTTTGGTAGCAGCCACTAGTTTTGATTGGATCGTCATAACTTCACCAGAAGCAGCTCTGGTTTTCTTCAAGCATGGAAGTAAGTTCAGAAATTACCCATCTATAATTTCAAGTTGCAATGGCTCCATGCCATCCTTTTATTTATTTCTTTATTTTTAGTCGATGTTTTCAAGGTGCTGAATTTATTTATGTCTCACAAATAAGATTCATGACCTCCTTTCCACTCTATCCCAGCCTGTATCCAAAATTTTCAACTTGTAAAAAGCGTTGCAGTTATCTCTGGATGTTGTATTACTTAAAATGATTGGTTAGTAGTGACTTTTGGTGAAAGTAGCTTAGTGTTTGATGGAGGGCATGTAATAAGAATGGAGAGGAATTTGTGAATAAATATACTTAAGTGCTAATCCTTCGAAAAGCTAACCAGTGTTTTATTCACATATGCACTAGTAATTTGGAGTTTTGTTCTTGCGTTATTTCCACTAGTGTCTTATTTGTTATTTGTTAATTGTGACCATAGTTTAGGGTTATAAGGAAATACTCTGAGAATATGTAAGGAAAAAGTACATGACCTGATTTGGTGAAGGTAGAACATGCATGGGCATCATCTCTATTAATAAGGTTACTCACATATCATCAATATATGTATGTTAGATATACTAGGTATAGGGTTTTGTCATTTGTGTAATCTTAGGTTACTTTATCTTAGTTTCCTGTTTTGGTAAATGTTAGTTTTATTATATATTTGATTCAATGCAAGTTTTTGTACTCTAAACTCTAAACACGAGGGCTTGAAAAGGGTTGTCTTCTGAAAATTTATAGAAAACTAACCAATTACTCTCATGTCATCTACAATCATATATAGAGCTGTTGGGACCCCAAATGTGAAGGTAGCTGCAGTTGGAACTGGTACAACAACCATATTAAGAAGTGTATCAGTGGATTGAATATGATCAAGAGTATAGTGTGGAGGCCGTCAACAGAGATATTGAAAGAAGAAGGGTTGTGGAGAATAGGATATCTTATATGATCTCGTTGGATGGACAAAAGACAGGGTTTTATGCGGATCAGCGTGAAAACCGTGAATTTATATCTACCATTTCGGATGGTCAAAGAGTGCTTGACATGTGCTGATATACTGGTGGCTTTGCTCTAAATGCTGCACATGGTCATGCTTTGGAAGTCACTGGTATTTGTTTTCACTCCCTTATTTCTGCATGCATATTGGTTATTTAATACTAGATATTATTAGGGAATGCATTTATTTATTTCCAATAAGCAATGTGTATGTTGTTTGATTGACAGGTGTTGATACGTCATCTCCTGCTTTGGAAGTAGCTAACCATAATGTCATTCTCAACAATCTGGATCCAGGGAAGATATCATTCCTGAAACAAGATGTGGACATGTCAAGTTCCAAAATAATTACAGTCGTATCCATGTGCAACTGAGTGGTAACTATAAGATGTGGCAATCGGAATCGGATGTAACATCAGAAGATGGTGGCTGGCTGTCTACAGATGTTTTTGTTGATACGGTCGACCAAAAATGGCATGCCAATCTCAAAGTCGTCAGTCTTTTTGTTCCGGTAAGGTATTGCTTTGCTTCATACAAAATATATTTCCATACTTTTTTTTTCTTTCTTTGGGCTAAATCTGTTCCTTTCTTTTACTCGTCTTTTCTGCACTGCAGCTATTCGAAATGATTTTAGAAATTCCTATTGCATGGTATGAAGGAAGAGCCAGTGGTGAGGTGATTCCCTCTTGACACTGTTTCTTGTATTCTCTAGTTTTAGAAATAGCAACATACTTCCATTCATATGTGTCAATTTTTTTCTTAATACTTTGATAAATCTACTTTAATTATTATATCAAATTGCTTTCTATTTGGATGAAAGTGCATTATGTAGTCCTTTTAGATATTCCTCTTACTCTTGTTTTGAAATTGAACAAGGGAGCAAGCATAACTACTATTTGGGTTTATTTTTATATTGGTGGGATGATAGTATACGGGGTTTATTTGTATGGATTGGAGCTTGCAGGTTCGCATTTGCATGTCACAAGGAGAAAGTTTCCCAAATCTTCATGGACAACATGATGTGACAGGGTTGGCTTTTCAAATATCTGATGCACCATCTTCATTTTCTGTATGTCCCATTTTTACTACAATTTCATCATAATTACCTTTGCTTGATAAGCATCCCCCTCCCCTTTTGTAGGATATATCTGCAAGCTTGTGTTTTCGGGCTCAACGAATATTTTTACACAATGCGAGCGGTTGGTGTGGCG